CAAAGTTGGATGTGAGCTACAAAAGAAAAATTACATATTTGTGGCTCTGAACTTAAATGCAATACAGGGAGGTTGTGCAAGGGTTGCCCAATGAAGTTTGATGGAATTCTGTAACTTCTTTCCCCTGAAAAGAAAGGCGTTTGGGTTGTATTTTAGGTGATGTTTGAGAGAGAATACTTGGACCTATAAACCAAACACATATGATACAGAAATTAGCAACTTGCTTTTGACTTGCTTTTTTGTTTTAACTTTTAAAATAAAAGTAGTTTAAAGCCTTCTGCTGTTGGTATTAGCATATTGTTGTGTCTAGAAACTGCAGCAATTGGACCAGATTTCTAGGATGCTGTTCTAACAGTTTATCTGCACAATTCAGTGGTTTTCTGTGGTATTCTGTCTAAACTGAAGAGCTTGTGGTGGTGGACCTCTCTGCTTTGGGAATTACCGTGACCGAAATCCCATCCTTTCTGTTGTGATTGTTGATGAGTTGTCTGTCCAGTTGTTTTATTCTTAAAATCTCTTAAGAGCATTTTCTTTCAGTATGTTACATAGTTTACAGCATGAACATTTTTATTGGGAGACACTACATCTTTTTTAACTGCTCCTGTCACTCCTGATTACTCTTTTAATCATGCTTAATGCTTATTACTTTAAGCTCTTTCCTGGAGAAGAATGGAAGATATGGAAAATTGCTACTGTGTGGTCACAAGAAGACTTCAATACTGAGAGACTGTACATTGGAGTCTAAAATAAAAGCCTTTCAAAGGCTCTCAAACTTTCCTGCTCTGCCACATCGCCTTCCAGCAGTGTGGCATTTGCTTTTCCCTGCAATACAGTCATTTTGGAGAAGCAGCAAGGGGGATTTAAAAGTACGGAAAAGAAAACATGAACATGATGTATTTAAACAAGAAGTTTGAAACCCAAAATTTCTTTTTCCTTTATTACTAGAAGGCCTGGGATTTGGAATTATTAAAATATTATTTTCTGCAGGGAATCCTTCATTTGGGAGTTTGAATTGATGCAGTTTAAGTAGATGAAGGTAATTCCGTGACCATTTGATGCTAGGGTTTTTTGTCTCTCTCCCACTTCCACCAGCTATTTCTGGTGTTCATTAGAATCCCAGTTATTCTGCCTGTCTTCTAGTGAGACAGCAATCACCTGTGTCAGACCACCTCTTTTAAATTTGTTTTGTGAAATGTGCAGTTTCACCAGAAATGGAGAGGTCTCTGTAAAGTGTAGTTCTTGCCTCCTCCTCTTCACTCCCGCCCGTGAACAGGTAGCATCTTCCATGTGGCGTGTAGCAAACCAGTGAGAGCAGGGTGTGAGTGATTACACTTCCAGCAGAAGGGATATTTTAGTATAGTACTCAAGGTATTTAAAGTAAGTAGTAGCCAATTGCGAACACAGAGGAAAAAAAATTGTATTGTTTCCTTTGCTAAATTGTAGTCTTCTGGATGCCCAGAAAAGTTCCCTTTAAGGGCCTGGTGTCTGAAGGATTACCTATAGTTTGCAAGTTTCTTTCACTCGGGATATTTTCCACTTAGTAAAATACAGACGTCTGCGAACAGAGCAGTAGAGCTACTTTTAGACATAAATGCATCGTTCTGCCCTTCTCTGACCGCATGAAAAGGTGAGTCATTCGAAGACCTATATTCTGACTTGTCAAGATATTTTCTCAGGAGAGAGGTCAGATTCTAGTGGATGACTTTATTTTTCACCAAGTACAGTTTGCAGTTACTGTGTATTTGGGATCAGCAGAATATGTCATTGTGGAATTTTCATTTTGTTTTTCATAGTCTTTGGTTTTATCCATATAAGCCTATGAACATAATCTAATGGTCATTCTAAAGTCATTCTAAAATGACTTTTGGATGGTCAGTTTGTTAAAGGCTAACAGATGGTAAAGGCTGAGGTATTCTCTCTGCTACAGTTTAGTGGATTCTTTTATTAATTCTGTAGGACCTAACTTTCTTCCCAAGCCAGATGTTTGTAGTGTATATATATAATACCAGCTCATTCTTCTCTCACTTCTGTATCCCTCTCTATTCTGCCAAGTCCCAATGATTGTTATTGCCCATATGCACAATCCCAAGGATATTGAAGGATATCTTGTAGGATGTAGAAAACTAGATTTTACCTATTTTTCCTTTTTTTTTGTTTATTCTCTCACTTTTCTGGATTGACCTGCACCATTAGTTTATCGGATTTTTTGGTTTTGTCTTTGATTTTACTCAAGAGAACTTGGAGAGACTGACCTAGTTTCAGCCTGTGTTTTCTGGTGGCGTTATTTTCTGAGTATTACTTGAGGATAGGGAAGTTCCTAAAAGGAACAAGAAAAAAAATATCCACAGTATTTAGGGACTGTGGTGCAGTGAATAGAAGAGTGTTGTCAGGCACGGGAGCTTAACAGTCAGCTAGGGCTGGAATTCCCTGAAAAAATAACTGCGAACTGCAGATGTGATGCCTGACTAGCAGTGTCCCTTTGCAGAAATGATTTAAAAGGTAAGATTTTTCATTTTTGAAAAAAAACTGCGAACTCCTCAAATACAGTAATTCACAAATTTAATATATACTATCTTATGTAAGCCACGGAATTGCGAATTTTTGTAAAAATGTTAGGAGATATGTCCACACCAAAACTCTTTTCTTTGTTTCTCCTGAAAGAGAAATTTAACTTACTGTCTTTTCCTGATACGGTTTAAAAAGAAAAAAATAAGAAAAAAAAAAAGCCAATAAAAAATCCTGTAAAGATTTCATCTCATTTTTACTTCCAATACATATTTTCCAGCACAGCATTATTGAAATACTAAAATCAACTTGTGTAAACTTAGCAGCTGAAATCAAAGCAACAACTGGAAGACCTGGAAGTGCAAGTACCCTTTGGGCAAACTCTACCTTTTCATTTTTTCAGACTTACAGTAGTATTCCAGTATACATGGAATCCCGATATTCACATCAGCATAAAATGTATTAACTATGTTTTCCTTTCATAGTGAGAAGAAGGGATTTTGTCGCATTCCTTCTTCTTTGGAATGCAATAACTAGAAAAGAGGTAGTTGCATCTGATTTTTGTGTGCACGTATAAACATTTGTTGTAGCAGGTTAGAGATATATATAGCATTCTCAGTTATTTAGGAAGTTCATAGTTACTAAAATAGAATAAGCCACCTTGGTTTTCTGTAAATATTTGGCTGATATGAAGATGTTATGCCGAGATACGTTCCTGGACGTTGTTATCTGAATTTTTTTGTTTTGAATAATCTGAAGAGTTATTTCAGATGTCAGGCATCCCTTGGACACTGCAGAGCGTAGCACCACTAGCACTCACCAAATGTCCAACTTTCAGGCTCAGGCTGTTTGATTTATCAGGTGGCAGAATGTATTCATTTCTGTTGATCTCCCTTAAAGATAAGTAGCCAGAATAGTGTTCCAACACGAGTGCACTGTAAAGCAAAAATATTTTTCTCTGGGTGATTTACTCTTCTCATTAAAAGAGGGATTTGATTATTGTCACCTGGAGGAGCTAGGAATGAAAATCAAATGTTTGTTCTAGCACCTTTTGTTTATTAATAATTTAATGGTTTAATTTGAATTATTGAGAGAACTCTTAAAGTAGTTAAGATTATCTCTCAAAATTAAATTCAGTGCTGAGGCAATGTAGACATACAATACCTACCTTTGTGGTAAGGTATATGAAATGAGCAACCTTATAATAGACCAATAAGTGGATTGGAATACAAAATAACCTTGCAGTGATTAAGATGAAAATGACCAAAATGCTATTTCTCATTCCAGCAGCGGATGGTATTTGTGTAAGTTATTGATTCACATAGTAGTACATCTCTTGTTGTGGGTGGTGGCAGTATGAATCTTGGAAGCCGTTTGTTTCCTTTTCACATTTCCATTTTTATGGAATGTGCTTAGATGGCAAGTACAGACAGTGGCTGTTGAGCTTTTTTTGCATCCTGAGAACAGCAAACGTCAGTATGTAGTGCAGAAAGTGATGAGGCATGAAAGATTAATTCTTCTTATTATACCTTTGTCTGATACTTTGCAGCGTCAATTGAACAATAAAGTCACTTTCATAATGACAACTTCACTTGGATATTTACAAGTTGGGAAGCAGGTGTAACTCAAAAGTGGCAAGCATTTAAAAAAAGGAAGGAATTGGCAGACGTGGATAAAGAATGAGATATATAAAGTGTGCTTATAAATTATTTTAAGATCAGACTTTAGCAACAGAAACTTAAACATGTTGGGCAGCCAAATGATAGATTGTGTTTGTTTTAGGATACCAAGATGGTACCAGACAAATAAGCATTTTGAGAGTAATGATTCAAATGACCTTTGTAGAACCTTGCAATCATGAGTACTTTCAGTACATTTCTTTTTTTTCGTATTTGTATTAGAGATGTTAATGTAATATGTTAGGTGTTTTAAACTGTAATGCATTTGATCTTTATGTTGCTATTAAATGAAATTCCCTGAATTACATTTACTATGTTACAGCTGCCATCAAAGGGGCAGTTGTGAAGACCCATGAGAGATGGGGTAATGGCACAAGTCGAAGTCGGAACCCAGTCCATTGTTTTAATAAACCACATAGATAACTTGGCTCACGTAATGAATTTCTATATTTTTTCATTAATTTTGTTTACTTCATGGAGTCCTTTTGTTTGAAAAGACATTGTATAATAATGATGGATTGACTAAATCACAATTCAAGATTGGTTGGTTTTGTCTTTATTAAGGTAGTTTCATATTTTTTTAATGATTATGCATCATATTTCTAAGGGTATATCCATGAAAATAAAAATACGGAATCACTCTCTTGTTTCTGATTTCCCCCTGCTTTCTTCTCCTCAGGTTATGACTGGTCTAATGTAAACCTTTCTTACTTTTTCATGTATTGCAGTATTGGTTTTTTTGTTTTATTGGGGAGGGTTTGTCATAGCATTATTTTCACAAAGGTGGATTTTGGTATTGTTTTTTTTTTTTTCCAGAATCCTATCAAGAAAATTCCAGATTCTCATGAAATTACTCTCCAACATGGGACAAAAACAGTAAGTGATAACATAATTACAACACTTCTTGTGTTTCTGGAACTGAGCCAGTCTATGAAATAAGTTAACAAATACTTATTGTCAGCTAAAGTTCAAGAAGCTAATTATTTTTCTTAATTTGTTATTTTAATCTAGCTGTTTTTCTTATTGCAATTGAATGTCTGTTTTAAGGCTGCCTCTTCACCTTATTGTAATAACCCAAATGTGCCTCCATTTGACTTAATTGTAGTATCATTTTCTTCTTCCTTTTTGTCAAATATACTATCTGCAATTGTTAGAGTTCCTCTTTTAGGCTGGACCTTCCCAGTGTAGAGAGAGGTCTAATCTAGACATTTCTTTGAGCGTTCATGGATTTCAAAGAGAATGCCATTGATGAAGTTTTTAAGACTTCTTTTTAGCTGAATACAGATCTTTTTCATTTTCCTTGAATCTTTAAGTGCTTTTTATATACCATTCTCAATTTCTTGAAATCTTGTTCTTTGTCTTTGCATCTTCTCTAGGTTTCACCTCCAATATTCCTCCTTCACTTTATTTTAAAGAACCACCGTCTTACTTGGAACTATAATTTCTTTGTTCTCAATATTTTTATCTCTGGGTAATCTCATCATCCAATACCAATTCAACTGTGTTTATGTGCTGATTGGTCGAAGATCTGTTTTTACAGAATGGAATCTATTTTCTGACCATCAATAGACCTGAATCTATTCCTAAATCCTTTCTCCATATTTGTCTTTATTCATCAAAAACGAGGCTGTTGATGTTTATCCTCTTCAGTTTGGGCCATGGCTTAGGCTTCAATGAGAAAAAAATACTAGAATTTCTTCTATTGTTATTATATCCCTGTGAAAGCACTGACAGCTAGTTAATAGAATTCTCACTTACGGCATTCCTGAGAGTTTCTTTGGAGAGGGGGCGAAAAAGAAGAAAGGAAAGAAGAATAAAACAAAAAAAAATTTGAGAAAAATGTTTTTTTATGAGGTTTTAAACAATCTAAGGAAATTTATTGTTTTCCTTTATTGGATTTTTAAGAAAAGTTGTGGATTAATTTTCTGTTTATGTAGTTAATATAATCACACACTTAGTAGTTTAACATTCAACAAGATTAAATAATTATTCACTAATAAACTTACTAAATCAGCATATATAAAAATATTAAACATCAGTAATTTATGAATTTTTTATTTGAACTTTTAACAATTAATTTCTTAATATTTATCAGGCATTCTAAAGGAGTTTTCTGGGCCTCTAAACTTAACTTACTTTTTTTTCATAGGCTTTCATAAATAGTTGTTTTCAGAAGTGTCCATTAATCTGGCATCAAACTTAGTGGTCTGTCATAGAGTGTGGAGAGGTGATAAGGTTTACCCATTTGTTTTATCATAGTGCTAGACATACAGACATAGAGGGAGGAGAGGAAAGAAGTAGCAAGCGTGTTATAAATGAAAAATAAAGTATTCACTTTTAAGCCTGTAAAAGAAGCATTGTATTACACTAAACAAAATTGGAGTGTATTTTTATGCACACAGTGCACACTTATGTGTACTAGGATTTGCATACTGGTGTGCTAGTGCAAACCAGTTGCATTTTACATGTTACAGTAAATGCTTCTGCAATATGTTTCCTGAACACGTTTTCTAACAAACTTTATTATGGAAATTTTTTTGAATTATTTTTCTTTTTATTAAACCAGTAAATCTTTTGATGACTTCTTAAACCATAAACTCATGTTATTTCTAGCTAAAAGGCTTTGCAAAGCGGAAGTTACAGTTTTGGATGACTTCTGAGGTATTTTGACTGCATGAGAATGCAGCTGTCATCACCTAGAGCAGAGGTGAATTATAGTGTGTGTATATATAGCACAGTTGGATTAGATTGGATGCAATGAATGAAATAAATCATCGAGAAAACCAGCTTTTCTGTAGAAATACTAGATTTTCATTTTATTTGTTTGTTTTAGGATAATGAAACTACTTACCCATGTCATTACACACACATAAGGCAGGGAGGAACTTCGTATCTTGATATCAGTGTTTCACCCCAACACTTAAAGTCCAGTCTTCTCATTAAGTTCTTACAGTGTACAGTATTTCACCTAAACCTATGTATTCCATCTGTACCTCTTCAGTCTAATGAATGTGGGTTTGATGATGACTCTATTCCTGTGCAGCTGAAAAGTCTCAGAAAAGATTTCCCAAGCTGGAGATTCTTTCCAGAAACCTGATTAATTTCCTGGTTGCCTTGCTTATACAGTGTAATAGGAGTTACTGTTCTCAACAAAACTTCAGGGATATATATATATTTTTTTTTTTCTCCTGATACTTTTGATGCATAGGTGGGTATGAAAAAGAATACATAATCAGAGGTATTCTGAACAGCGTGCTTTCTAATGTCTCGTATCACAGCTGCTCCTTCCTATAGTAGTTACTGTAGAAGAGAACACTCGAGTCTATTAGTTGAATGCATGATTAATCTGGAGATGGCCTGTTTTTCTGCATTTTAGAAATCCTGAATGAAATGAATGGGATTCAAAATTTGCATTTAAGTGGTAAAAGGACCTTTTTTTTTTGGAAACACGTAAGAGGTTGCATCTGTTTCATTTGAAAATAAAGTATGTCACAGTGACATAATAGCTAAGTGGAGTTTAATTCATTCTTAGGGATAGCACAAAGCACTACATTTAAACATTTGATTCAGGAATATAAAAAGAAAAATGTTGAATCTATCAGTAACTCTGTGAATTAGATTGTGGGGTGTGAGGGGGGAGTGGGCACTGGATTAGGACATCTGGTGATCCTTTGCATTCTTCAGAAGAATGATGTTTTAGACATTCTCTAAGAGATAAGATTTCTGCAAGTGAATGCCTCTAAAATAATGTAGGACAATTAGATTAAGGAGGAGTCAGTTGCCTAGTGAGCAGCAGCGTTACATCTGTAACATCGTGGTTTTCTTGAAAGTACTTTTTTCAAACTCTTGGTTCTGTGATGGCACTGTATGTTAGAAACACAGTGAGGTACCAGCATGAGGAGCAGCATGAACGTTGAGGAGAAGGTGACTAGAAATAAGTCTTTGATAAAGTAGGAAATACATAAGTGAACCTATTCTGCAGGAAACTGGAAAAAGAAAACTCAAAACAAACCCATACTCTTTCATATAATGAAACCTTAATTTTTGCAAAACAAATTTTCCATTTTAAAGAATAAATTCCATTCATAACTGGTGTTTTTGTTGAAACATTTATTTTCTGTAGGTTACTTTTTCAACTAGGGATAGGAAAGGGACTATCTCATGCTAAATTCAACTTTTTAAACAGTGTTTTGTGTGGGAACTATTCAACAGTTTACATAACTTTTAAAAGTCTCCATAACACTGTGTATATACTAAAACTTAAAAAAAACCCAAAAGAAATAGTACAGTAGTAGACTGATACATCTTTGAGACAAGGGTTTTTTGGTGGTACTTCTATGTATCTGAATGAAGTCATAGTGACTGTCAGTACTTTTCATGTATACGTGTAAAGAAGATACATACAAACAAGCACACATATGCAAATTATTGTAATTTTTATACATCAATATCTGGACTTTTTAATACAGCTTTAGGCAGCTGAGAGTAATTGGCCTGATTTTTAATTTTTTTCAGAAGTTCGGTGTTGCTAGCCTGTAGCCATAACGCTATTCTCAGGTGTTATCTTTGACTCAGAAATGAAGGCTTTTCTTCCTTTTATTGTGTAAACTGACTTTTCTCAGCTGTCTTCAGTGGTTTATTCAGGTTATGTAATTTCCATTCTTTGTACCCTTCAGACATTGTACAAGCTAGTGAAAATTCAAAACAAAAATATAGCTGACGTATTTTGGGAAGAACTAGCACACTGAATAAATTTTTGTTACTTTAGTAGTATTTTATATTGTGGTGACACCTGAAGAACTGAAGGGGGGGAAAAGAAAGCAAGCTTGAATTATCTAATTTTTTTTTTTTTCTGTGTAGGTTTCTGCTTTGGGGTTGGATCCTTCAGGTGCCCGTTTGATAACTGGCGGATATGACTACGATGTTAAATTTTGGGATTTTGCTGGAATGGATGCCTCTCTCCAAGCTTTTCGGTCACTCCAGCCTTGTGAATGGTAGGCATGAAAGCTGCCTTTTTAACCTGAGACTGTGCCTACATTAAGCTCCTAATAGAATGCACAAAAGTCTTGTAAGATAGCTTGTTCAAAAGGCTTTTGTATCCCATTGTACCTTTTGTGGTAAATGGAATGTGAATCTAAAAACTTGTCTGCTTATGTCTTTTCAAGTGTTTTCCAATGACTTGCATATTGTCCCCTTTTAGAAAGCTACAGGTGAGTTTGCAGACGAAATTGCTAATAGAGTATCAGAAAATAGTTTATGAACCTCTCAAATATACAGGTTGACTTTCCTAATTGGAATCACAATTAATAGATTACGCTTTCCATAAGTACTCTGCTCGTATAAAATTAATGAAGAAGAGAAGGAAGTTAAAAGAGTTGACACCTTTGTGGATGGCCACTAGCTGTTGCCTGTATTTCTGAATCAGGAGGTTCCTAATTTTCATTAGATATACTGTTTCTGGAAGCACTGGTCCTTTGCATTGCACTAATTGAATAGCTGCATAGCATGCATCTTTAAAGGAAAAAAGCTATATGTTTATTTATATTTATCTAAATATGTTTATATATGTAAATTAAAAATAATAATAAAGGAAGTGTTTTTTAGAGAGTGATTTCCATACTAGATGTACTGTTCACTGGTAATTCAGAAAGTAAATGAACCATTTACTTGTTCCAGAGAATTGGAATATGTAACTCCTTCAAAAGGAATGCGTGTCTTATGCACAGCAAACTTTCAGATAAACACATTCCCAAATTAATAATACAGTTGTTTAGTGAAATACTTTCTAATGTCTGACTAGTGTGGTGCACCTCATAAGATACTTTGGTACGCTAAAAAAAAGGATTGAAATTTAATATACACAGGAAGTAGTCTTTAAAATATCTATTTTTAATCATTATTGTATGAAAAAGCTACGGCTCAATTTTGGTAAGTTTGCAAGGTTTGAATGTGTGTGACTAATTACAGATGTGCCAAAAATCTAGATAATGAAAGACAAGACAAAGTTGGGGCTGTTAGCGTGAAAAGGGATTCTACTGATGTTCTAAACTGTGAAAAATCTCGAGAATAAAAAGTGTGCTTCGATTCAATTATTCAATTCTAATATCTTTGACAGACTTATCTCGTTACAATAAACCAATAAATGGCATGCTTACTTCGAAAACATAATTTAGTAAACATACTACTTTGAAGTAAGTAAATAAATAAAGTTCTCCAGATGTGAAGTCACATTCAGACTTTTCTGGCATGAATTTCATTTACATGATTAATTAGCAGGATACAAATGGTATTTTCCTGTCCTTCGTCATAGCTGAGAAGTAAGAGCGAGCTTACAGTCTTTACTTCTGCAGTAGGAGATAATTTCAACTGAAGCGTTTCCAAATTGTCAGAAGAGTGCATTCAAATTTAGTAGTACTTGGTAATAATGATACAGGACACAAATATCATATAAAACCTGCAAGTACAGTGTAGGTTAATGCCTCATTTCAAGGAAAACAGCTTGCTAAATACATTTGCAGCCTTCTTCTGGCAAAAACTGATGGTAAAATATGAGCTTAAAGTGCTTGTTACCCCTGACATTGTTCATTTAGAGTGTTATAGGTATCTCAAGTATTTTTGTGTGAATGTTCTTGGTGAAATGTACATACTTGTGGTTTGAGTATGTTAAGTATAAATGGAATACATAAAAAAAAAAGAATATTAGAAATAGAATTGGCTGGTGAAAATTTGGGAATGTCACTTTTCATGTACTAATTTTGGATTTCTAAAAATACATTATTTAAATAGCCTTCTGTATCTTTTTGTAAACATAAAACTGAAACTATAGCTCTGTCTGGTAAAAAGATCCAAATTCATGAAAAGTTCTTTGATGCTGACATTTAGGCATCCTGGTGAGAATATAACTCACACCCAGGTGTATATATATTCTTATATTAATTTTTTCACTATGGAATTTATAGCGAGGACTATTAACATTTACAGACCTTAACTTCAAAGAATTCTGAGGAGTTCTGGTATGAAAGCTTAGATGTTAGCAGAAATCCAGTTCTGGAGCCATAAATTTAATTTCATCTAAAGAATAAAAAGCCTGAGAACAATTCTGTGTTGTCCAGGCTCCGTTTTGTAGCATAATATCAGGTTACGCTGTTAATTTCTCCTTGGGTTTGGGAGGTAAGGAAAAAACCAAACAGCCTGACAAAAAACTGGTATGTTCAAACCACACCTCAGAGTTTAAGGCAAAGGCCAAGGGTAAGGCAAAGCTGTTAACGTGTGTAGAAATTGTGTGTCATGGTTCTACCCATGTCTGTAGCTCTGTTCTGCAGATCCTGGCAGAAAGTACTGTGCACGTTTGGCAGCTTTAAACCAAAATGACTTGGATTAATGCTATTAAAGGGAACTGGTTTTGTAAGTTTCCCAAGACTTTTGCCTTAACATTAATAAGAACCAAAAATGTTTTCTTTAAGAACTGCCTCTGCAGAGCCTCACTCTTGGTCATACTCCAATAAACATCTGAAAAGCAGTAACTTCTAGGGCTTTGCAAATACCCTGGCTATAGAATCAATTTTTGGACATGATTTTAAAAGTCATATTCCACAGTCACAAAGGTGGGTTTTTTTATCATTTAGATAAAGATTGAAATCTTCTCTCTCAGACTAATTTTTTCATGACTGATTTGATGAATTTTTAGTTATGATGCCATTGCGCTAGGCCCTGTAAAATCAGGTGCTCTTCCTTCTTAGAAGAAATCTTAAATCTAAGATGAAAACAAAGTTTATTTAGATACAGATAGATATAGAACTATAGCTATAGAACTACAAAGAAGCAGTGAGATGATATTGGTCAAATTATGAACAGTGCCACCTTAACAGTGTTAATTTCTGTAGTTTTAATTTCAGTACTTCAGTGTCTGAGAGGGTTTTCTCGGAAGGCTCTGTGGGCCTTTACTCATAGTGGATTCTCTCAGAAATCAGATTTTACTTCAGGGCAAGCTGTTTGATCATATCTAGTGGCCAAATCATCTTCATGCACGAGGTGTGCATCAAACAAAAATAATATTTTATTGCAGTTTTTAAATGTTTATTTTTGGTTCTTACAAAACGTGAATCTGCTTTGTAGATGTGTTGGGTGTTTTCTTTTGACAATTTTGGCGTTAGAACGTGAGGAATATAACTAGATAAGTACTTCATTCTGCATGCAGTACTCAGGTGGGGCTCAGGGGTAATTTGTGTTTTGGATGAATTGGGTGATAAGGGCAAGAGTACAGCTTGGGGAAAATCTTTTAGTTCTTAAGATGTGCTGCTTGTTCTGAAGCTGAATCTGATGGATACTGTAGGTTTGTCAGCTGTCTGCAGAGACTTTAGATACCGTTTCTCTTGTGGATTTTTTTTTATTAACTTTTCAATGTTTCTTCTGAGTTTAATGCTGCTGGCCTACTTTCCCCCCTTCTGAACAAGTAACCATTTTTCCTCTTGAGGGTCAGGATGCTTTTTCAGACATCGCCTGTGATCCATTTTGGAAATTCCCAGATTTGAGTGTCTCCTTTCTACTAAAAATCAGAGTTTATAATAATTCAGCCAATTTGGCTGCCACTTTGTATTACATAATAGGGTGCTTGAAGCAATTTTTGGCTTTTGAATTATAATGTAATCAGTTTTACCAAACAAACATTTTTTGAATGAGGAACTTATGCTTAGTTTACAGTACTATGATCAATGCAGAACTTCTAAAATATGTATTACAATATTTTATGTGCTTTGTGTAGTAACTCACAGTGTGAGGACAGATTTGACAGATAATAGCGACTACTGAGTCAGTCATGAAGCCACTACCTTGTAAGAGGTAAAATGTTAAGTTACAAGTTGCATAGTCAGTTTTGTTGTTCGTCTGTTAATATTACTGATGTGGAATGGTGTTTAAAAGTAGTTTCCTGAAAGTTACTAGGATTTACTAGAATTCTGTGATTCTAGGATTCTGTGTTCTTCACCAAAAGGAAGATAGTCCTTTGAGAACAGTTTGAATGATGTGGGAATCCTAACTTAGCTGGCAAATACAGTCCTTAATTTGGGGCTAATTTAGCTGCAGAGCTGAAACATTAGTTCAAAGTAACATTATTGTGCACATTCTGTTAGTATGCCAGGGTATAAATTCTGTCAGGTGTGGAGTGGTTACTGCTTTGTATTCCTTGACATAATTGTAATGGTGTATAGCCAAGTAGGGGCTCAAAGGGTGTCTGCTTCAGATACAGCAACTGCAGGGAACTTTGTTCATAAAGCAGAATGCTGAGAGAAGATGCTGAAATTGGAAATGGACTTCTCACTCATCAGCCATCTTCCCACTTTCAGTTAATAATTTTTTGTCATCTTGGTGTTATTCCACGATTTCTGTCCCAGGTTTTCTCAATCAGTAGAAGACTTATGTAAGAAACCTTTGCAGAAAATAGGCAGTCAGATCTAAGATGAAGTATACTAAGCAGATTGTTATCTACTGTCGTGTTTCCAGAGTTGATGGTATATTTAACTTTTCTAAGAATCAGATGAAACTGTAGCTCTGAACATAGGAAAAGATGCAAGAATACAGACATATGATTAATTTGCTAGTATACAATGTACAGTGGAATTTTATGTAGGACTACAGTATTCTTTTATAGTGGCTTGTAGATTACTCTAAACCCATATACTGCTTTTGAGAAGATGAAAAAGAATTTTCAGCCCTGAAGAGCTGAATCTGACACGTACTATTTTTCACTTGGAGTTACAAGAGCATTCTGAAAGTTAACTATGTTTGCCAGAAATGACATTTTATGTGCCAGCTTTGTAAATAATATTGTTTGATGTCCTGTGTGGTTGAAGAAGGAATTGTGACATGCATGTGCACACACAGAGGAATAAAAAGCTTTAATCCATTTATTTCAGATATTTTTTTCCCATCTTTTTAGTATAGGAATGTATATGGGTCTATTTCTGCAATGTATTTTCTCACTGTTGAGACTTTTGCTGCAGTGTGGGCTTATGGAAGTGAATTGAAACAGTTCAGTCTTTCTTTTTTCTTTTTAGTCACCAAATCAAATCTTTACAGTATAGCAGTACAGGAGATGTCATCCTCGTTGTCTCTGGTAACTCCCAGGCAAAAGTTCTTGACAGAGATGGCTTCCCAGTAATGGAATGCATAAAAGGAGACCAATACATTGTGGATATGACAAACACAAAGGTAAATTCAGAAATTAATTGAATGCCAGGAGACTGATAATATAATGTATTTCTGCTCTTAACACGAAACCTCATGAAGTTCAGTAAGGAAGAATACAAAGCCCTGTTTCTAGGATGTGATAGTCTCATATATTGATACATGCTGGAAGTTGTGTGACCTTCATCTATGAAGGTTTTCAAGACCCAGCTAGAAAAAGCCATGGCTGACCTGATCTGGTGTTGGCTTATCTGGCTTATAAAGAGGTCTCTTCCAACTACTATCTCTATAATGCCACAACTTCATCTATTTAAAAGTGTATCTCATAAAAATTGTCAGCACCCCCCCATGCCCTTCACCAACCAACAAAAAAACCCAAAAACCTCATTAGAAACTATAGAGCTGGTCTAGTCTCCTGCTTTCTTCTACTCTCCATTCTTGTGCTGATATAATTTACCTCTTTCAAGGCAAGGGTTGGAGATGTTGTTACTGTTACTTGCATGCCATGAGTGTAAAACTAATAAGCAACAATGTGTACATTTTTAATGGTAGTTAAAATGCAAATGGAGAAGAGCTGATTCCTAGTTTTGAAGTATTTTAATGATGGTTGGATTTTGACCACTTTGCCTTTGTATCTCCACAAATTGTGTGAGACAAGGATTCTGTTTACATAGATTATTTAAATTCAGGTCAGTTTTTTTAAATAGCTTAAACCTAAAAAATAATGATGAAATCTACTGCTCAAATTGATGATAAAGTCGATTTATTTATTGCTTGTAAAGTATATTGCCAGATAACTAGGCTAAATGCTCTTTTGCCTAAAGCTGTTCTTGTCAGATGACTATTGCTTTTGGCTAGTGATATGTATATAAAACCATCAGATAGTAACATCTGCTTTAGTTCTTGTTTATTTAAAAATAATTCAGATTTTCTTTCTTTTGTAAACTTCTAGAATTCCAGTGTATTGTGATCCAACAGTCAAAATGCTAACATGTTTGTTATATGTCTCCATATTTGTGCGTAAAGCAAACTGAAGTAATCCTAGCATTGCAGGAGTAGTTTCCGAATTTCTCTTTGAATGCAGTTAATGAGCACGTGGCTGTACTTCAAAGAAGTAAAGCCAAGTGGACAAAGACATTTTATATCATAGTCACCTTAATGGAAATCGCTGACTTTGGATAAAATGGTTTTTTTTCCATCCTAAAGAAGCAGGGCTGACTTCTCAATTTGCAACTTCTTATCTTCTATGAAAGACTCACTTGAAGGTGAATCCATCTTGAGTCTCAAATTCTGTTTCCTCAGTTTTATCCTATAAGGTCTTTGGCTAGTGTAGTTGGCGCTGAGTATGTATATTGTGTCACCCTGGTAATTCTTGTTATTCCTGGTATTTTTGTGTAGCTCGGAACAGTTTGCATGATGACATACTGATTCCTATTATTTCATCCTTTCTCTGCATTGCAGTTCTCCCAAGAGAAAAAAAGGAAGTATGTTTCCATGCTATTTTCTGAAAGATAAAAATGCTAATAGAAGAATGGCAGGATTTTTATGATTCAAAAATGGAAACAAGCAAGGGTGAAATGGATTAGAGTACATAAAATCTGTTAAGTCATTGTGATGTCAGTCATCCACTAACGTGCTCAGAAGGGTCTGATTTGGCCCTCAGCTTTTGTGTGATTCCACTTGAAGGGTTTGAAGAAAAATTTGTAAATCCTTGTAAGACATCTTACAAAACCTTTATTTCCATAGGGTCACACAGCAATGCTGAATTCAGGCTGTTGGCATCCAAAAATAAAAGAAGAATTTCTGACATGTTCTAATGATGGGTGAGTATTGAGGCTTATCTTTTGTCAGGTTTTTTTTAGAGGCTTGTTTGGTTTTTGTGTTTTAATATTATGCACTAATTTTCTTTAAATATCATCCTTGTAAATCTTGAGCCAGTGCTCAGGGCAATGTTCAGTTAGATCTGGAAGCAATTATTTTACTTGTTTTGCCTCTAGATAATGAAAGTATTTTGTCTGTATTATTTTAGTTTTGTAAATTAAAATGACTTTTAATTATAGTTCATGAATGTTGTTGGTTAAATATGTTTTTACAAAAACTCGGGGACAAAATTTAACTTTACTCAGTATATCTTCAGGTTAGAATAATTCCTATGTAGAGACTCAAATGTAACTGAATTGACTGTGAAGATAGAGTATTTCAGTTAGAACATGCAAGTTTTACGTTAGGTGTAATTGAATATTGGTGGATGTTTGAAAGTGTCAAAAAGACTTAGGAATTATTTTGTGGCTTCAGTCTTGATATTTGTGGTTAGAATCAAACTACAAAATGTCACTCTGGCAATTGCATTCATTAATAAAGTCAACTGCAGCTGTCAAGAGAAAGATAATGAATGATTTTTGAATGGGTGTTTCAAATACACATCTCCTTTACTCCAGACTGACAGTGAGGGTGAAGATTGCATTGCCCCACTAGTGTATCTATAGGGTGGTCCATGGTAAACAGTATACTCAAAAGACATGTTGTAGGGTTGTTTTTTTATTATTTCCCAAAAGGGACCAACTTACTGATTTAACATGCAGGTAGAAAATTATTTTAACGGGAAAATTCACAATTTCTGTTGAGACTGTGGCAAAAGAAAACAAGACTTAAATACTGCAATTTTCTTTATGGAGCAATTCAGTTGTAAAAAATATATACAAGTTAAGACAACTATATATTTTTTCCAGTTTGTAGACACAAAGCATGGCAAAATTATTTATTAAATGGTAGAGCAGATACTTTAAAAAGTTTGTTGCTCTTTTGAATGTAGATAGACATTAGTCCAGCTTCACTATCTACAAACTATTCCAGTTGAATAGTTTGTAGATAGTGAAAAACAAATTTAGACAATCTTCATAATTTATATAATCTTGTTTTGTCCTGTCGAAGCAAGTGCCTGATTAATATAAAAATATGGATTCAGTACATCCCTGATGCTTGGAATTGCTGTGAGTTGAAATGGCCTGGTTAAGTAAGTAAAATCCAGATAAATACTACTATAAATGGCTGCACTATTGCATTTTCAGAGACACTACATGGCTGACATTTCAGGAAAAGTATTTTAAACCCACTTAATTTTGCTTCATGCTAGTGACAGGTCTTTCAAGGATTTGGACATGTCGTGAAAAATTTGGATTGCTTAATTTGCAACACAGCACTTAAAGACAGTATTCCATCTGTGAAATTTAATAAGAACAGAAACTATAAAGTCTCCAAAGTTTAATCAGTAATTCGTCTTAAGACTGGAGCTGCAAACTAGAATAGAATAGAATTGTTCCAGTTGTATGGGACCTAACTCAATAATCTAGTCAAACTGCCTGAACACTTCAGGGCTGACCAGAAGTTACAGCATGTTATTAACCACGTTGCCCAAACACCTCTTAAGCGCTGACAGGCTTGGGGCATCGACCACCTCTAGGAAATGTGTTCCAGCATGTGACCACCCTCTCAGTAAAGAAATGCTTCCAAATGTCCAGTCTAAGCCTCCCCTGGTGCAGCTTTGAACCATTTCCACCTCTCCTGTCACTGGGTACCAGGGAGAAGAGCTCAGCACCTCCCTCTCCAGGTCCCCTCCTCAGGAAGCTGGAGGGAGCAATGAGGTCGCCTCTCAGCCTCCTTTCCTACAAACTAGACAAACCCAAAGTCCACAGATGCTCCTCAGAGGACATGCCTCTCACCAGCTTTGTTGCCCTCCTCTGGGACCTTCACATCATTCTTAAATGGTGGGGCCCAGAGCTGCAAGGTGGGCGCCACACCAATGCTGAATAAACCAGGACAGTCCCCTCTTTTGACCAGCTGATTGTGCTGTGCTTGATGCACTCCAGGGTGTTGTTTGCCCTCTTGGCTGCCAGGGCTCACGGCTGACTCACGTGGAGCCTGCTGATCTAAGAATAAGTAAGAGTCTGAGTAAGGAAGGTCATGTAGTTATGACAATGTCTAACGAGCTTGGGAAACTTAAGCAATTCAAAGAGATAAATAAAAGTGTTGTGTTCACTAGTTATGAAAGGTTTGTTAGTGAGTAGCACACCTTTGAGAACACAACGTTTCATAAGTAAATGATAGCAGTTGTTGGTATTACACGCTATCGGGTGAATTTCTGACCTCTTTCTGGTGGTTGGACTTGCCATAGCATTTCTAATGTTTCTCAAGTGGAAACGCGACTCTAAATAAATGAAGGTACTGTTTAGTGGGTTTTGAATGAGGAAAAATAGCTGCTCTAAGATGCTATATTATGGTAATTTAAGAGAATATTTTGCTTAACCAAGTAACATTAGAATACTTAGGTCTCAGAGCAGAGATGTTTAAAGCTAAAAAAAGAAATGGGCCATACCAGCAAGAGGTAATTCAGAACTGCCATTGATTTGTGCTTAAAGGAGGCAAGTTTTCTGAATTTCAAGAAAAACCAATTAAAAAATACTATTATACCAAGCAATGAGAAGTCTTTTTATTTTGTACTGATTATTCTACATCATGCATAGAATGTGTTCATGGATGTGATTAAATGCTACAACTGTCTGCCTGCCTGCCTATTTACCCCTGACCCTTATGTGTTGAAAAACTGTATTTCATTGATTTGTAAAACTGGCTTTTTTTGTTTGTTTGTTTGAGTCAATAGATTTGCACTTAATTAAATGCAAAACCATTGAAGAGTCTGTGTGAAAGCTTGGTTTATGTTGCGTGCAAAGCAAACAAAACAATTATAATGGAACTTGAACTTTGGAGTCAGGAGCTTTCTAAAGATTGCCAATCTTTTGGTCTAATCTGATAGACAAGAGGTCGAAATGGAGATAGGATATCATCAAAGTCTGTAAAATGTTCGAGATGGTAGATGAACTGGCTGGGCAACTCTTGTTCACCAAACCCTCTTATACTAAGAGGAATGTGTTGAAAGTGGCTACAGTTAAGTTTAAAACTAATTAAAGAAAATACTTCATTTTGGATACTGGTGAAATATATTCTGGAATGTGTTTGTCACAGGAGGTTGTGGAGGTACGTTTAAAAAGAGATGAGAAAAATTCATGCTCATCAACAGAATGGAAATGCAATAGACATTGCAACATCTTTTATATGACAGTTGTGGTTAGTGAGGGGGAACAAAGGGAATAAACTGTAATGGCCAGTCTTGATCAGTATCATTATTGCTGTGATCAAAGACTGAATACAGGGCTAAATGAAGCTACGGTCAGATTTAGTTGGATGTTTCTTATACTTTTATATGTTCTTCAGTGACAGTTAATAATTAAAGACGGAATTTCATGCTATATGCTGTTGGAAATGTAGTGTGTGAATTGTTCTCACAATACAATGCTTTTCCAGTGGTTTTATATATCATGTTGACGTGGTTTTAATGCAAATAGGTTAACTGTTGGTAGGGTCTTCTGTCTCAAGGTAGATGTTGAGACAAAGCCCAGATCTTTATGTGGCTTTGATATATAGATATTTCAGGTAAGAATGTGTAATCTAGTTTGTTTTTTTTTTTAAAAAAAAAAAGTCTTCTAGTCCTGAATCAGTCTTTCTACACAGCAGACCTGCTTGTACCCAATTTTGGCATTCCTGACTTTACACATGGATGTGATTTTGCATTCACAGCCCTTGGAATATTCCTCTCTGTCATTCTTTATCAAGAAAGTCTATATCCGTAAGAGGAGAAATGAAAAATTACAGTATTGCATATCAGAGGAAAGGGTGAAATCAAACACATACTCATCTCAGAGTTTTTTCTCCTGATGTTGCACTGCTGCTCTTCTATACAGTGTATGTGACCTCTGGAAATTTTGCAGTAGATTTCTGTTAGTTTTGTTCTAAAATTTGTACTACACATTGATATAAGATCAAATTATTTGAATTGCGGTGATTGCTCTGGAATTTTTAATAGGGAATGTGATGCTATCTGTATTTCTAGATTTTGAGATTTAATTCTCACATTGGAACTGCCACAAATGGCATGTGTGGAGTAGGTCACTTAGCACTGAAAACCAAAATGAGCCCCTTTGGAGGGTCAATCCTGTGTGTATGGATGTAGGAAAATTAAACCAGTCTTGCCTTTAATAGGCATGAAGGAATGTTGAACATCTTCCAGTTTTGCTGGCTTTAGCCACTTCTGGATGTCACATGAAACACTAAAGCAAGGCAGTATTAGCTCTTAAATATTCTCCACTTATATTGGTTGATATTTCTGCATGGACAGCTGCTGGCTGGGTACTCCAAACCTGGTTGCTAGAACCAAGACCCATTTTTAAAGATGCTTGCAAGAAAATGTGTAAGGGTTTTCAGTTTATCATCTATGAGTTTGGAAGCTGATGAAAGAAGCATTTGTGTGTGTGTCATGCTCCTTGAGACATGCTGAATGGCAGTGTCTGAAACTGAAGGAGAAGAGGACATGGGGGAGCACCTGAGGAATGTTAATTTACTTTTAAGCCCTGATCTGTATATTTTGTGCTTCTAGGTGGCATTTGCACTACCTCTAGAGAAAACAGTAATTCATAAACTGAATATTAGAACTGTTTACAAATTGTGGAGTATATTTTATCTGACTACTGCAGCATTTGCGTTGTCTGTCTCTGTAGTTGAATGGTTGTCACTTGTATACAATTTAAATATGAAGTAAGGAAATAAAAATGCATTTTCTGGTTGGTATGTTGAAAGCAGGAGTTTTCATAATGCATGAAGACGTTAAAAGCAAACTTTGGAAGTGGACTTCTGGAGTCAAAGGAAAATACTTTTAAAATATGCTTTAAATAACTACTTTAAAAATATTTTAAATACATATTTCTTTTATGTT